TATTTTGTTGTTGGTATGTTTGATACCGATAATTAGCACAAGAATGTTACTGGGCCTGATAACTGCTTGATGTGACAAGGGAGCAGAAGGGGAATCCCCTCCTCTGTAATTGGGATTCCCAAACATTCGGTCGTGATAAAAGTAGTCCGCCTCGATGGGCGTGGCTTAATGTTTTTTTTACATTCGTTTGGAAATGAATGCCCTAAGATGTGACCCATTCAGCTAATCATGATGCGGGAATTACAATGAACACAACGGAAATTTAATTATTATGAAATGATAAAAGGTTACCTCTGAATCTTTCTAACTTGAGAGAAATACTAATGTTGATGGCGTATGTATCGTCACATGCTGAGTTTATCATGGTACTGTACTGTACAGCTGAGACAGAAGCTGGAGGATACAAGGATGTCCCGTGTATTCTGGTGAACGTCCTGGGAATCATGGTACTGTACTGTACAGCTGAGAGAGGAGCTGGAGGATACAGGGATGTCCCGTGTATTCTGGTGAACGTCCTGGGAATCATGGTACTGTACTGTACAGCTGAGAGAGAAGCTGGAGGATACAGGAATGTCCCGTGTATTCTGGTGAACGTCCTGGGAATCATGGTACTGTACTGTACAGCTGAGAGAGAAGATGGAGGATACAGGTATGTCCCGTGTATTCTGGTGAACGTCCTGAGAATTGGAGATAAATCATCACTCACATCAAGGATGATAAGAGTCGTATTTTAACTCAACGAGAGAAACGAGTGGTCCTGCTGACCACACTTTGGCCGACACCAAAGACGTTTGCATTGTCTTGACCCAGTTGCAAGCATGCTGATGCATCTACCTATTTCTTCGGTCGTCAACGACGTTTTTCATGCTGTTGGGACATACGTGCATTCAGTTGGTGCAATCCTCAGGATCAAATGCTGTGATAGTGCCAGGTGGCAATAAAATAATCTTCGCAGAAATTATTCGCGGATTATTTGCGACTTACCCGGGGATTATTCACAATTTTACGACAGAACACGATAACAAACGTTTGCTTGTTAGTGTAAATATGAATATTGTTAGTGTCAGTTGCCAAGCCATGCCTTCAAATGAGTAGATGGATCAAATCAGGGGAAATAGACATGCAGATGTATCAACAATACACAGAGTACATCACCCAGGTGTTGAAGTCTGGGAGTGAGACTGACATGTTTGACATGTACCAGATGTGTCAGGGGCGGCCATTGGAGGGACGAAGACGGATGTCATGATGTGTCATAATCCAGTATCAAATTCGTGAAGCAGCTTGATGAGAGACAAATTGACAACGGTATCAAGCCTGGTAAGATCGAACACGTTAAATCTGCCACAATGTGTAAGACTGTTTATCATGATACGATACGCATGAAGCTGACGTTTGACAAAGATGAACCCTACCTAACTGACATCACAGTTCTGGATGAAGACTATGTCGATTCACTGGTTACACTGGCTTTTGAAATAACCGTGTAAAGTCCTTCTCTGTGAAGAACAACACAGTCCAAAATCATTGTCTAAAACTTTTATGTCACCAAGTGGTTATAAGCTTTTAAACACATCGTGAATCCATTTTAGTAGAGTTGGAGACATTTACTAGAGTCATGTACCAGACCACAGAAGCAGTATAGAGGCACTACAGCCTTGAGTCCTTCAACATTATGTTGGTTTGTTTGTTGTTTAATGCCGCACTCAGTATTATCCCAGCTATATCCCAAGAGTCCAGGCATTCAACATTAGCTGTAGGCCCAGAGGATCCTCCAAACATTGCCATCCTGGATACATCGGGGACAGTGCTGAGGTCAGTCAGTTCACTCAACACTGAGGAGAATCTGATACGTCACCCCAGCTTCCTCTGTTCTCCAGACAGGGGCAACATCCTGGTGTCAGATGATGGCTAAGACTCTGTCTACTGTATCACACCATAGGGAGATGTTGTGTTCATCAATCCCGGTTCGCCCTGATTATGTTTCTAGGTTTGTCAGCACCATACCCGTGCTCGTGGGTTTCACCGAAGTTGTAAACGTCTAAGACCTGCATCACTTCGGGCTTTCCTCCCACATTAAGTTGACACGCAATGATACAACTGGAATACTGTTAAAAGCGGCGTTAAACCCAACTCACTCACTGTTGTGTTCATCTACAGTGGAGAGGAGACTGGAAAGTCCAGAATTTATCCCAACTACCAGCACAGGGCACATCCTATCGGAAGATCGATCCACACACAAGTTGATACTACTGACACCAGAAGGGGAGTTTGACCTGCTGACGTCACAGGATGGAATACAGAGATCAAACAAAATATCTACATGCTTAGAAATACGGTGTATGTGCTGCGAAAATCTTACCACCATATTAGGGTGATCCCATGCAATTCACGTTGTAATATAACACCCTCAGTAATAAGTCACATGTAGATAGATCTACATGTTATATGTTATAGTATAGTAATTCATTTCTTTGTAGTTGGATTTCTAGGCCTAAAGTGAGGCCTTACTTGGTGTTATTCTACAATCTTTAATCCTGCTTTGTTAATGAATGTATGTTTCTTGAGAACCACCCAGTAAAAATTCGATTGGATATAAATTCTTACTTACTACTAATTTACGAGGAAATACGAATCACGTGTCCCAAGTAGGATGTAGAATCAGACACCTGGAGGAGATAAAACATGTCGGCATGGATATGGAACTGGAACTGGGGACACACGTGGGAGAGGACTTACGTTGACTTGGCAAGAAATATTAAAATTAATCTTTACTGAAGGCATCATCACAGGTGTAGAATTTGTGGAGGGTAGTTTTATTCGTGGATTAATGTAAGGTAGCAATACCTAACTGCGATTGTGAAACTGTTCTTCCGTGATTCACGTGTTATGATATGAAAGGGCACCTGCTTACTTGATTTGATAGTCACACATGCAATGACCCGTGTGTTCATGTATAGGAGTGATGAGTCAAAATTATTTCAAAATGTTGTCGATTGTTTATTATTTTCTTGATCTTCCAAACACTTAGTTGATCGTTAAGGCTAAAAAGCTGAGACCCATTTTTGGAGATCTAGTCAGAATGGTTTCCCAATTTTGTCTCAACGTGAGGATACGAGGGTAGAATACAAGCGGCCCTCACTTATTTACATCTGGTTTGTGTTGACATAAATTAAAACCGCTTTGTCAATCGTGACTTTGCCAAAACACGACATGGTACAGCAAGCACAGGTATTGAAAATGTCACAAGTCTAATTCAAAACATTTTTTTAACCTGTCATTGTAAAGCCGACTCAATTCGACTTCCTTGTCGACAACTAGACGCTGATGTTTACTCTTTCTTCAGCTGCTGTAAATACTTGACACCTCTCTATAACGACACTAAACTTGATGAATCTGGCAGCAACATGGTCACCAAACTATTCAATCAACCGTCCACTCCACATGTCGGTCTGTTTTTAGTGGGGTTAACCTGAGGTTAAACTATTAGTTCATTTCTAGGAAGACCCGCTGTCGTCACATCATACCCGTCGTGGTGTTGATGCTGGATTCCTATAGTAGGAGCGTCGAATATACTCAATTGAAAAAAAAGAAAATATAAAAAGAAAGAGAGATAATACAAAAATAATTATTTGGCTACCCCCCAAAAGTTTTTTTAAAAAGAGCGGAAAATATATATTACTCACACAACTACAGGCCCGTGTGTGGTGAAAGCATCACAAGATGTTATTGTTTGTGTCACACAGTAAATGAATATTGCCCATTTCTACAAGTATCATTTCTATTTGTTCAGCATTAATAGACAGAGCTGATTGTTTCCTCGATGTAAAATAATGTTGTGAAAATATAAAGTCTTAAAATGCTTAGTATAAAGCATAAAACTAATAATGTGTTTATTAAAAGTATCGCGATAATGATCCGAGTAAAGTCTTGTTGGAAACGTGGGATTAAAGCGTATATTACACATAGTACACGATTAATTGTAAAGCTGTGATCTATTTATATTTTTCAAATACACAACTCGGGGAGCGTGAAGTAACGGTGAACAATTGAGAGGAGTCCGCAAACCAGTAAGTCTGAAAACCTCATCAGTATGTCTGTCATATACCTATTGTGTGTGTGCTCGGTGAAGGATATATTTATATTCAAGTAAGAATACATCCATATTTATATGGCACAAAGAAGACATTGTACTATGTTCGTGCTGTGTGAGTACAGCGTAGCAGTGTCTGTAGTTCATGATGACATTGCGATATTGTCCGCATGTACTTTAGGGCATGTTGTTCATTTGTTTGTTTGCACCAGCATATTCCAACTATATAGGCGGTCTGTGAATAATCGAGTGTGGACCAGATAATCCAGTGATTACCATCTGGATACCATGACAAGCATGAGGTGAGGTGAAATGGGGTTTAACGTCGCGTCCAAGATTATTGCACTTAAATAGCGACGTGCATGTACGTGTGTGTGTTTGTGTGGCTGCTTGTACTACTCCGGACTGATGCCGATTTATATTGCTAGCCCACTGAGATACCATGCCCATGACAAGCATGAGCCAATTCAGCGAGCCTGACCACCTGATCCCGTGAGTTACCTCTTAGAACAAGCATGGGCTGCTCTAAACCAATTCTAGCCCGGATCTCTTGAGTAGGTATTTGAGTGAGTGAGTGAGTATGGTTTTACGCCGCTTTAAGCAATATTCCAGCAATATTACGGCGGGGGACACCAGAAATGGGCTTCACACATTGTACCCATGTCGGAAATCGAACCCGGGTCTTCGGCGTGACGAGCGAACGCTTTAACCACTATACTACCAGACCGCCCCAGGATGTTTGAACACATACGCACGCACGCACACGAACGCAAACCCGTAAAACACACAGCTTACATCATCTTTAAATTAGTTAAATGGGTTTTTACGTGTATGATTCAAACAGCTTGTATACGTATGACGTAATTTTTTTGTCACCAATACGAACGTCTAGAAACCTCTGGTGTATGATCTATTGGTTGATCCTACACGGTGCATTGTGTTTGCAACATAACTTATTTCTGCAGTCAGTATGCAGGTTTGTCAACCTGAACTCAACCGAAACCTACACAAATGTTACTCGACGTAAATGTCCCGTGTCATATGCTGTGCAGGGAAACAGGTTAGGATCTCTAGGGAGTTACACGACCATCACCAGTAGCGACGGCTGACGCTTAAGACGGCATTGGGTGACAGCGAGTGACTGTTCAGGCAGGACAACAAGGGACATGAGAGACTGTCGGTGGAAACAAGATACAATGTAGACTGTCGGTAGAAACAAGGAATATTGGGGATTCTCGGTAGAAATATGGCATATAAAAGAGCATACAGTGTGCCTATTTGTCACAGGAAATGGACAGTGGTGACATTGTTCACAGGGAACAGACAGTGGTGACATTGTTCACAGGGAACAGACAGTGGTGACATATTGTTCACAGGACACAGACAGTGGTGGCATATTGTTCACAGGGAACAGACAGTGGTGGCATTGTTCACAGGGAACAGACAGTGGTGACATATTGTTCACAGGACACAGACAGTGGTGGCATATTGTTCACAGGGAACAGACAGTGGTGGCATTGTTCACAGGGAACAGACAGTGGTGACATATTGTTCACAGGGAACAGACAGTGGTGGCATATTGTTCACAGGGAACAGACAGTGGTGGCATATTGTTCACAGGGAACAGACAGTGGTGGCATATTGTTCACAGGGAACAGACAGTGGTGACATTGTTCACAGGACACAGACAGTGGTGACATTATTCACAGGGAACAGACAGTGGTGACATTGTTCACAGGACACAGACAGTGGTGACATTGTTCACAGGACACAGACAGTGGTGGCATTGTTCACAGGGAACAGACAGTGGTGGCATTGTTCACAGGGAACAGACAGTGGTGACATTGTTCACAGGGAACAGACAGTGGTGGCATATTGTTCACAGGACACAGACAGTGGTGACATTGTTCACAGGGAACAGACAGTGGTGACATATTGTTCACAGGGAACAGACAGTGGTGGCATATTGTTCACAGGGAACAGACAGTGGTGACATTGTTCACAGGACACAGACAGTGGTGACATTGTTCACAGGACACAGACAGTGGTGGCATATTGTTCACAGGGAACAGACAGTGGTGACATTGTTCACAGGACACAGACAGTGGTGGCATATTGTTCACAGGGAACCGACAGTGGTGACATTGTTCACAGGGAACAGACAGTGGTGGCATATTGTTCACAGGGAACCGACAGTGGTGGCATATTGTTCACAGGGAACAGACAGTGATCTCATGTTGTTCACGGGAACAGACACGTGAGACCCACTGGTCGCGGTAACTAGGCTAGACACACTGTTTATGGGAAGAGATCAGTTAAGAGAAACACAACACGAGGACATGGAACATATTGGTTATAAGCTGCTTATATATTTTTAAGTAAGTTTAGAAATGACTAATTCAAACAAGTCAAACTTCAAGGTGAAGACATTTTGCCAAACCGGGAAACCGCCAGTCATTCTCTGGAGAATTATTTCACCACTTCTGTTTATAGTTGGCAAAGGAATTTATTTATTTATATGATCTACCCAATATGAGGATGAATGATTCAAACTGTTCGAACGAAGAGAATGAAGCCATATTGCCTAACGAGGAAACAGCTGAGCTCTTATGGAAGATCATTTCGCCAATTCTCCTTCTACTTGGCACTGTAGGCAACCTCCTTTCCATTGTTGTGTTGACCCGTAAGGCAATGCGGAAGTCCAATATGTCCAAATACCTAACCTGTCTGGCAGTGGCTGATCTAGCGGTTCTGTATGTCGGACTTCTACCACAATGGATAAGTGTTACGTTCGATGTAGATATAAGGGACGTTCATCCAGTTGTTTGTAAGACACACCCGTGGTTACTGTACTCAAGCCTTCACACATCGGCTTGGATTCTAGTCTCTGTGACCATTGAACGCACAGTATTTGTTTGGAGACCTTTACATTACAAGTCTGCTTGTACCAAGAGAGTCGCCACCTTGTGTATGATAGTTGTAATTAGCTTTTGTTTGATAATAAATTGTCACTTTCTGATCTTCTTGGAACTTACTGAAACAGATCCAGGAGTTTATGTGTGTGATTACGTAAAGACAGCTGATTATTTATACAAGAAAGTGTTTCACTGGATAGATCTGTGTGTGTGGTGTATTGTACCTGTCGTTGTCCATCTTGTGTGCAATATTCTCATCATTTACCGTCTACGCGTTCAGACCCATATATTCACAAGACATAATTCAAGAACAAGAGCAGATAGATTGAGACAAACTCTAGTGACATCCACGACAACGATGCTGTTGAGTTTGAACCTGGTGTACCTCCTCTGCACCTTGCCCGTGTCCGTCTTCTTCGTTGGCGAGGAATATTGGAACATCAGTTCCCCGGGGGCTGAGGCAGAAGCACAGCGAGAGCTTATAAAGGCGTGTGTGAGCCTTCTGATGTACCTCAACAACTCCACCAACTTCATCATCTGCTTGGTCAAAGGTAAACGATTCCGGAAGGAGGTTAGCACCATCTTCAGCTGTCGGAGAACACGTGGTCCTGCAACCCAACAAAGACCTACATCCATCTCTAATATATCAAGGTCATTCCGTCAGAGGTCACTTGCAGAGTCATCAAGAAGTTCATGTACGTATTATCACCGTTTCATCAACACAATGTTTTCTATTATATTCTTATGTGTTTGTGTTAATTTACCAGTACATCATTCCCTATTTAATTTTTTTAACAAAAAGGCCCAGGTATTAAACTGTAAATGATAATGGCGAGGATGAGAAATGGTTGGCGTCCAACCTTCTCTGACGTTTTAGTTACCAAACTTCCCATCAAATTCAAAATAACGTCCTCTTTCCAACAGATTTAGTGTTCAAGTGTCCCATTGGTGACTTAATATAACTGATCTGAAGTTCTTGTAATTATCTTGTAACAGTCTTGCGGTATGCCAAACATATAGTTGATCTTTATACACATTCCTTGGAGACACACCCATACGATTTGTCTCCACACCAACAACAGGACAATAGGGATTAGGAAGCGTGGCTGGCTCATAACCTGGGACATACATAACATTCTTAAATGTAAGTTTCATTAGTCCTTGTGAAAATATTCTTTGGAGGCGAGTCTCATTATACACTGTGATAACATAATACTATTTCGTCACATTCAAGGAACCAGTTATTTAAAACACAATCTGCAGAAAGGAGAAGGAAACTCAGAATGACTGACAGACACACAGTGTTAATATCATCAACATGGATGCCATTTTGTGTCAAACAGATTTACATTTAAAGCATTGTTGTCATGATTCCTGTCCGATTTATGACTGGGCAGGCTTTAAGTAAAATAAGTAGTAGTATTGGTAGTATTAGTATTAGTAGTGGCAGTATTAGTATCAGTATTAGTATTAGTATCAGTAGTGGTAGTATAAGTATCAGTATTAGTATTAGTAGTGGTAGTATTAGTATTAGTATTAGTATCAGTATCAGTATCATTATTAGAATTAGTATTAGTAATAGTATTGATAGTATTAGTATTATTAGCAGTGGTAGCAGTGGCAGTATTAGTAGTGGTAATATTAGTTGTGGTAGTATCAGTAGTATTAGTAGTGGTAGTATTAGTAGTATTAGTATCAGTAGTGGTAGTATAAGTATCAGTGTCAGTATTAGTAATAGTATTGGTAGTATTAGTATTATTAGCAGTGGAAGTAGTGGCAGTATTAGTTGTGGTAGTATTAGTAGTTGAAGTATTAGTAGTATTAGTATTTGTAGTGGTGGTATAAGTAGTAGTAGTAGTATAAGTATTTGTGGCAGTATTATTAGTGGTAGTATTAGTGGCAGTATTATTATGAGTAGTGGTAGTTTTATTAGTATTAGTATTAGTGGTGATAGTATTAGTAGTATTGGTATAAGTATTAGTAGTGGTAGTGATAGTAGTAGTAGAGGTAGAAGTAGTATTAGTAGCAGTAGTATTAGTAGTACTACTAGTAGTAGCAGAAGGTGTAGATGTTGTAGTAGGGGGAGTAGAAGATGTAGTAGAAGTTGAGGTAGTGAGTGAGTGAATGAGTATTGTTTTATGCCACTTAAGCAATATTCCAGCAATGTCTGGGGGACACCAGAAACGGGCTTCACACATTGTACCCATGTGGGGAGTTGAACCCAGGTCTTCGGCGAACGCTTTAACCGCTAGACTACCCACCGCCCCAGTAGTGGTAGTAGCAGATGTAGTGGTGGTAGTAGTGTTAGCAGTAGAAGTAGTAGCAGTAATGGTAGTGGTAGATGTAGTAGTGGTAGTAGTGTTAGCAGTAGAAGTAGTAGCAGTAATGGTAGTGGTAGATGTAGTAGTGGTAGTAGTGTTAGTAGTAGAAGTAGTAGCAGTAATTGTAGTGGTAGATGTAGTAGTGGTAGTAGTGTTAGCAGTAGGAGTAGATGTAGTAGTAGTAGTAGTGTTAGCAGTAGAAGTAGTAGCAGTAATTGTAGTGGTAGATGTAGTAGTGGTAGTAGTGTTAGCAGTAGGAGTAGATGTAGTAGTAGTAGTAGTGGTGGTGGTAGTAGATGTAGTAGTAATAGCATATGTAGTAGTGGTAGTACCTTCCGCTCTCCACGGAGGCGGTCTTATAGTAGTAGTACATGTAGTAGTGGTAGTAGAAGTGGTGGTGGTGGTAGTAGAAGTAGTGGTAGTAGTAGTAGTAGTGGTGGTGGTGGTGAAGTAGTAGTAGTAGTAGTAGTAGTAGTAGTAGTAGTAGTAGTAGTAGTAGTAGTAGTAGTGGTGGTGGTGGTGAAGTAGTTTTAGTAGTAGTAGTTTTAGTAGTAGTAGTAGTAGTTTTAGTAGTAGTAGTAGTAGTAGTGGTAGTAGGAGTAGTAGTAGTAGTAGTAGTAGTAGTAGTAGTAGTAGTAGTAGTAGTAGTAGTAGTAGTAGCAGTAGTAGTAGTTGTCAGTTGTAGTAGTAGTAGGAGTAGTCAGTAGTTGTAGAAGTAGTAGCAGTACAGCAGTAGTAACAGATGCACATCGTTCACAGTAGTTACTATCGAGGTTGATACACTGTGTGTGACTGTCAGTGACGTTCTCGGGAAATTGTTGTGTCATTCAGTTTAATCTAAATCACTTCCTGATTCACAATAGCAGTGGTAATTGTGTGGCGGTGTTTATTCACAACATGCCCCTTGAAGAGAGCTACCCATTATGCAAGTCCCATTAAATATGTGGTGATCGTTATCGCTTGAGAAGTCGTGAAAGGGTGAAATGTCGTTGCAACCTCAAGACATATCATGTTACGTGAGCTCAGACACCCGTTCCTTACATTGAAACTCAGATTGACATATTTGTAAAATGACATTATTATATTCTATATGCTACGCTGTTTGGGGTACAGGTGCTTGTCGTAATTCTACGTAATATTAAGCACAATCTCAGTTATAACGGAGTGTTGTAACTTTTGTAAAGCTTGGTCTTATGCAGGCATCACAATGAACACTTTGCTAGAGTTTCGAACCATCAACCTAAAGCTCTCCGGGCTGATGCTCTATCAGCTAGATCACGGAGGAGGTCTCCGGGCTGATGCTGTATCAGATAGACCACGGAGGGGGTCTCCGGGCTGATGCTGTATCAGATAGACCACGGAGGAGGTCTCCGGGCCGATGCTGTATCAGCTAGACAACGGAGGAGGTCTCCGGGCTGATGCTCTATCAGCTAGACCACGGAGGAGGTCTCCGGGCCGATGCTGTATCAGCTAGACCACGGAGGAGCTCTCCGGGCTGATGCTGTATCAGCTAGACCACGGAGGAGGTCTCCGGGCTGATGCTGTATCAGCTAGACCACGGAGGAGGTTTCCGGGCTGATGCTGTATCAGCTAGACCACGGAGGAGGTCTCAGGGCTGATGCTCTATCAGATAGACCACGGAGGAGGTCTCCGGTCTAGATACTCAGTTCATTATCTCAGCTAATGGAAACAAGTTCATTTAAGATTTTATCATGGTAGATTGCAGAAACACCGCCGGTATGGTTTAATTTAGACGCCTTCAAATCTACAAATAACACATATTTGCATTGTAAACGCTGTTTGTTTATCTCCCAATTTGTTACTCATCATCAGTGTGACAACTGCGTAACAGTTAGAGATCTATATGACGAAGCTTTGGATTTTGTTCCCTTTAAATAATGCGGTTGAATGTCTGTGGTTTCTTACGTAATTGTGATACACATCCTACCTTTCAGCGAGGGACATTATTGGCCTGAGGTACAGACGATACTCCGCACAAGGTGGACAAATAAACAACATAAGCTCCAGTATCAGCATGTGACGAGGTGGACAAATAAACAACATAAGCTCCAGTATCGGCATGTGACGAGGTGGACAAATAAACAACATAAGCTCCAATATCAGCATGTGACGAGGTGAACAAATAAACAACATAAGCTCGAGTATCGGCATGTGACGAAGTGGACAAATAAACAACATAAGCTCCAGTATCAGCATGTGACGAGGTGGACAAAAAAACAACATAAGCTCCAGTATCGGCATGTGACGAGGTGGACAAATAAACAACTTGAGCTCCAGTATCAGCATGTGACGAGGTGGACAGATAAACAACATAAGCTCGAGTATCGGCATGTGTTGAGGTGGACAAATTCATTATAAGCTCGAGTATCAGCATCTGACGAGGTGTGACATTTTGTCTGTGGTTATTGGAGAAGTCATTTGCAAAATGTTGTTTGCAATTTTTAAAAAATGTGCAGCTTGGACCACGCCAAAAAGGCTAATGTGGGTGCAAAAGTGAGAAATAAAAGACCATTCTTAGATCTCGACAATGCAAGTAGATTTAAGAAAAGCAATTACTGAATCTACATTAAAAGTATTATTATTGAACAATTATACGATTCCGACTATATCATTTTCAAATAGTGATGATACTAGATGTTCACGAAAAGTTGATCGTATCTTACCCTACCAGTGGCATCCGTCACAGACACGTGCAGAGGCAAGTCAAGTGTTCCACTTAAAACAACAACACAGGAACGTAAAAGAAAGGTTGAAGTCAAAATTAGAAAAAGCATCAGAGATTATTTTTTGTCACTGATGCGTCAAGAGTCGTATGACGCTCTTTGGAATCTTTGCTCGACCGTTCGACATGTGGACATGTGGACATGTGGACACCAAAGACCGGTGTACTCAAGGTCCACTAACTTCACGTGCAGGTTTATTTTCTAGAAGGGACGCTACACTAATTGCTGAAAAGAGACAGCACTTTAATATCACAAGCCATAACCTCGTGGTCATACACTGCCTGGACGTTGTTACTGTGATAACCTTTCCGATTAACGGCGCCTGAATATGTATGTCCGTACCATCAATGCAGCCAAGGACACTCGAAAACCGCCAAAAACAAAAGAAGAACTATAATCCGGAAATCGTCGTTAACATTTTGTTTCGTTGTTTGTTGTTTAACGCCGCACTCAGCAATATTTCAGCTATATAATGGCGGTATGTAAATAATCGAGTCTGGACCAGACAATCCAGTGATTATTGACATCATTAGCATCGATCCACGCAATTGGGATACGATGACTAACATCAACCATGTCAGCGAGCCTGACCATTGACAACATAACTTATTTCTTAGTAATAAAATTAAATATTTTTGAAATTGCATATTTTTAATGCATGATGAACATACTACATACTACACACCACACTTGTGATTGTTCTTGGATGCTCATGTTCACTGACAATATTTGGAATGGTTGAATTTTTTTCCACTTTTATATTAACCCAGTTCCCCGAGTGTTGCAATTTGTTTTACTGAAGTTGTATACAATTCGGCACTCTCGCGAGATCTCTGATCAAAAGCTTGTGATTCACTACATTACCGCTGGAATCCTGGTTGCCGAGTTAATGTTCAGACGCCCAGTTTTGCCAAATGATCGATCTGCATTGGTATATTTTTGAATTTTCTACTCCATGGTGAAACATTAAAGATTTATTTGAACAGCAAATAGTGCTAAATGTTGTCCAAGTTTATGTTTCGCTGACTGAAACCCAGGGGTTCACATCGAATTCGTTTCCAGGAAATTTGTTTGTGTTCAGCCTAGATTCATTTCCGACCTTCCAAAACACACCAGGATTAAATACATAAATCTGTAGTGAAAAGGTTCCGACCCAGTTGTGAAAATGTTCCGACCCTATAGTGAAAAGGTTCCGACCCAGTTGTGTAAATGTTCCGACCCAATAGTGAAAAGGTTCCGACCCTATAGTGGAAAGGTTCCGACCCTGTAGTGAAAACTGTTCCGTTGGCAGAATGTGCACATGAAAAAAAGGGAAACTAAGACATATAATCGTAATACAAATAACCATAAACTAAACGAAAAAACAAAAGAATATGATGGAAAAAGTTATCCTAGAACAAATCCTGATAGTTAATAAATGATACAGACAAATGTGAAAACATGTAATTATAACAGAGACCTAAATCGGAAAAACTGCTGCACGAGAATTCCATGAGTGAGTGAGTGAGTTTGTTTTTACGACGCTTTTAGTAATATTCCAGTAAGATAACGGCGGGGGACACCAGCAATGAGCTTCACACATGTCGGGAATCGAACCCGGGTATTCGGCGTGACGAGCGAATTCCAGGAAATGACTGTGTTTATGTCCAGTAAAGTATAAACAAAGGCAGTCGCCAGTGAATACTACAGCTGTAGCGATGAAGTATCCCGAAAATGAGAAAAGGACAAATCCAATTATAAAGAAATGTCAGGTAGGATTTTTCACCTATAGAGAATTTCCACACATACATGCATGTGACCGGAACAAAAGTCAGTGTGAGAGGAACCCAAACTTGACGTGATATGCGCCTCCAGTGGAACAAATGTCAATGTGAGAGGAACTAAAACTTGACGTAATATGCGCCTCCAGTAGAACAAATGTCAGTGTGAGAGGAACCCAAACTTGACGTGATATGCGCCTCCAGTGGAACAAATGTCAGTGTGAGAGGAATTAAAACTTGACGTGATTTGCGCCTCCAGTGGAACAAATGTCAGTGTGAGAGGATCTAAAACTTGACGTGCTATGCGCCTCCAGTGGAACAAATGTCAATGTGAGAGGGACTAAAACTTGACGTATTAGCGCCTCCAGTGGAACAAATGTCAGTGTGAGAGGAACTAAAACTTGACGTGCTATGCGCCTCCAGTGGTACAAATGTCAGTGTGAGAGGAACTAAAACTTGACGTGCTATGCGCCTCCAGTGGAACAAATGTCAGTGTGAGAGGAACGAAAACTTGACGTGCTATGCGCCTCCAGTGGAACAAATGTCAATGTGAGAGGGACTAAAACTTGACGTGATTTGCGCCTCCAGTGGAACAAATGTCAGTGTGAGAGGAACTAAAACTTGACGTAATATGCGCCTCCAGTGGAACAAATGTCAGTGTGAGAGGAACTAAAACTTGACGTGATTTGCGCCTCCAGTGGAACAAATGTCAGTGTGAGAGGAATTAAAACTTGACGTGATATGAGCCTCCAGTGGAACAAATGTTAGTGTGAGAGGAACCCAAACTTGACGTGCTATGCGCCTCCAGTGGAACAAATGTCAATGTGAGAGGAACCCAAACTTGACGTGCTATGTGCCTCCAGTGGAACAAATGTCAGTGTGAGAGGAACTAAAACTTGACGTGCTATGCGCCTCCAGTGGAACAAATGTCAGTGTGAGAGGAATTAAAACTTGACGTGCCATGCGCCTCCAGTGGAACAAATGTCATTGTGAGATTAACCCAAACTTGACGTGCTATGCGCCTCCAGTGGAACAAATGTCAATGTGAGAGGAACTAAAACTTGACGTAATATGCGCCTCCAGTGGAACAAATGTCAGTGTGAGAGGAACCCAAACTTGACGTAATATGCGCCTCTAGTGGAACAAATGTCAATGTGAGAGGAACTAAAACTTGACGTAATATGCGCCTCCAGTGGAACAAATGTCATTGTGAGAGGAACTAAAACTTGACGTGCTATGCGCCTCCAGTGGAACAAATGTCAGTGTGAGAGAAACTAAAAGTTGACGTGCTATGCGCCTCCAGTGGAACAAATGTCAGTGTGAGAGGAACCCAAACTTGACGTGCTATGCGCCTCCAGTGGAACAAATGTCAGTGTGAGAGGAACTAAAACTTGACGTGCTATGCGCCTCCAGTGGAACAAATGTCAGTGTGAGAGAAACTAAAACTTGACGTGCTATGCGCCTCCAGTGGAACAAACGTCAGTGTGAGAGGAACCCAAACTTGATGTGCTATGCGCCTCCAGTGGAACAAATGTTAGTGTGAGAGGAACTAAAACTTGACTTGCTATGCGCCTCCAGTGGAACAAATGTCAATGTGAGAGGAACTAAAACTTGACGTGCTATGAGCCTCCAGTGGAACAAATGTCATTGTGAGAGGAACTAAAACTTGACGTGCTATGAGCCTCCAGTGGAACAAATGTTAGTGTGAGAGGAACCCAAACTTGACGTGCTATGCGCCTCCAGTGGAACAAATGTCATTGTGAGAGGAACCCAAACTTGACGTGCTATGAGCCTCCAGTGGAACAAATGTTAGTGTGAGAGGAACTAAAACTTGACGTGCTATGCGCCTCCAGTGGAACAAATGTCAATGTGAGAGAAACCCAAACTTGACGTGCTATGCGCCTCCAGTGGAACAAATGTCATTGTGAGAGGAACCCAAACTGGGCGTGCTATGCGCCTCCAGTGGAACAAATGTCAATGTGAGAGGGACTAAAACTTGACGTAATATGCGCCTCCAGTGGAACAAATGTCATTGTGAGAGGAACGAAAACTTGACGTGATATGCGCCTCCAGTGATACAAATGTCAATGTGAGAGGAACCCAAACTTGACGTGATTTGTGCCTCCAGTGGAACAAATGTCAGTGTAGAATGAACTAAAACTTGACGTGATTTGCGCCTCCAGTGGAACAAATGTCAGTGTGAGAATGAACTAAAACTTGACGTGATATGCGCCTCCAGTGGAACAAATGTCATTGTGAGAGGAACTAAAACTTGACGTGCTATGCGCCTCCAGTGGAACAAATGTCAGTGTGAGAGGAACTAAAACTTGACGTGCTATGCGCGTCCAGTGGAACAAATGTCAGTGTGAGAGGAACCCAAACTTGACGTGCTATGCGCCTCCAGTGAAACAAATGTTAGTGTGAGAGGAACCCAAATTTGACGTGCTATGCGCCTCCAGTGGAACAAATGTCAATGTGAGAGGAACTAAAACTTGACGTGCTATGAGCCTCCAGTGGAACAAATGTCAGTGTGAGAGGAACGAAAACTTGACGTGCTATGAGCCTCCAGTGGAACAAATGTTAGTGTGAGAGGAACTAAAACTTGACGTGCTATGCGCCTCCAGTGGAACAAATGTCAGTGTGAGAATGAACTAAAACTTGTCGTGATTTGCGCCTCCAGTGGAACAAATGTCAGTGTGAGAGGAACCCAAACTTGACGTGCTATGCACCTCCAGTGGAACAAATGTCAGTGTGAGAGGAACCCAAACTTGACGTGCTATGCGCCTCCAGTGGAACAAATGTCAGTGTGAGAATGAACTAAAACTTGACGTGATATGCGCCTCCAGTGGAACAAATGTTGGTTGTAAAAGTTCCGCCGGAACTTAGATACACATGGAGCCAAATCTTGTTTACACATTGATTGATTGCCATCCAAAATTTCCTAAAGACTTTTTTCAAGCTGGGTAATAATATAGAAGAATGTCCTCTAAAAATCATGAAAATGTCCTGTGGCCTGTTTCACTTGCAAAATCACTGCGCCAAGATATTTCTAGTTTTCTCCCATTTTACGAAATAGGAACCACAAAAATATAGTAACAGAGTAGTTTTTTATTTACCCTAATATTTCTCCATTGTAAAGATAATTTCGATTAAAAGATCAGGGCCTAGATTTTCGAAACGATCGTAGCTAAGATAAATCTTAACAACTTACGTTCAAAGATAAGATATCTTAAGGTTAAGATAAGATAGATTTTCGAAACTATCGTAAACCTGTCGCA